GTTTTGTTTTTTTTTCCATATTCTATCTCATGAAGAACTTGCCACTCTAGTTTAATTCTTTCAAAAAATCCCGTCTTTCAAGGATTGTGGAAACTCATGTTCATCAGCCACCAGTTTGTTGATCTAACCACCAAAACAAACCCACTGTTTTTTTGTTTTGTTTTGTTTTGTTTTTGTGTCTGTTGCTTTCTTTTTTCTGAATATTTGCAGAGATTTGCTATTCAATGTCTGGCTAAGATTCAGTTAAAATGTCTGTTTTTCTTGATAATTTATCTTTTCTATGACATGCTTTGAATGAATATGACCTTGACATTTCAGGGGATTTTTTTTAAGTAATGTAAGTAAAATGTGGCCAATTCTATACAAGTAGACGGACTTTTTTTGTTAGTTCATAATTTTAAAGTACAGAAGCCTAAAAAAATTTTAAAAAATCAAAAAAGTTAATTGCAATTTCTTTTCTGTGGAAAGTCATGACGTGATGTTACAAAAGCTCTGTCACCCTACACCTTGTTATCATAATATTACAAACATGTTTTTAGGTTTCTATACTTTAAAATAACAAGCTTATAGCTCCAGTTTAGCAATATATTTATACTGTAAATTAAACATGTGATGTCATAATGTTGAACACAAGTCGAGCTTCTGACACATTTTTAATCAAACCATTCACTTCTACTTTTCAGAAGTTAAAAATTATCACAAAGGAAAGATTTTCCAAATAAAATTTATCTTCATAAAGCACACAACAACAAATGAAAAAAAAAAAACTCCATCTTCCTACAAAATTTAATTCAACTTAATTTTTACCAAATGTTTACGTAACAATGTTGGATTACTTATTGAATGTGACTGTTTTTATATATGATCAATTGTGATTATTGTTGTATTTTTATTCAATTTCCATAAACAAATTGGGTAAAATTTTAATTGAAAAGGTTTGATGCATTAAATGCTTTAAAACAATTTGTTTTAAACCCTGCCTTGAAAAATAATGTGCACGTTGTTGAATGTTTAACGGCTCAAAACAAGAAATTGGCAAGCCAATTGGTTTCATCACATTAACTTTCATACAAATATATTTGGGAATTGTATGGATCCATTTCTCGTCCCCACCAGCTATGGGTTAAATAGTAGGATAAACTCTGTTCTTCGACTGTGTTTGGTGACCAATCTAAGAAAAAATTAACTCTGAATTCAAAACTGGTTGTGTTTCGGGGGCTAACACCCCATCCTGTGAAACCCTATTTTGTTATAGAAACCACAGAAGCAATGTCTAGGATCTGAAGAGTTGTGGTCCCAGGGGGTACCTCGGGGAGCATATAGGACTAGATTGAGTGAGTGGTTAAGTTGAAAAGTCCCAATCAATAAGAGGTTTCCAAATAAAAAAAAAATTCTAATGTTTGATCATTTGGTTAGATTTTGGGAAGTCAGTTGGGCTGGGAATTTTCTGCACCTCTTCAGAGTATTCCTTCTCCATTTTTTTTTATATATATATATATATATATATATATATATATATAATGATCTCCATTCACCCCAAGCAAGGTGACAATGCCACTAAGATGCAAGTGGCTACTGGAAGTGAACGAGAAGGAAAAGACATTAAGAAGGAACAAAATCCCCAGTCTTAAACAGGAAACAAGGGATAAAAATACTGGGGAGGAGTGTGAACTAGGCAATAGGCAAACCTATCTACTCCTATTTGGAGAGGAAAACAAAATAATTACTGAATAAAACTTTGGAACTCAGGTGTAAATGTTACAAGTTGAAATAGATGTTAGAAGAAACCAGAAACCCAATCCTAAACAGGAAACAAGGGATAAACCTCTACTCCTGTTCAAAAGACCAAGGAGGGGTGTTGACCAGATTATAGATGAACCTATCTACTCCTATTGAAGAAAAACAAATAAATAAACAGTAAATAAGATTTCAGGGTTTAGTTGGAGAAGTTAGAAGTATAACATTTTGGAGAAATAAAATTTTGCTGAAATCGATTACAAAATTTCCAAAGTCTGATCTGACTGAAATCAAGAAGATAACTTTAAACAAAATGGTCACAATATACAGAAAAGAAGCATCAGTTTAACCTGTAGCTTCCTGGTGTCATTTTAAACTGAATTTAGAGCAATGATTACTCATATCCTGAAGGGATACATCAAAGATGGAAAAGAAACAACTATCAGCTTTTACCTGATTGCAGTCTTCAGGCTGCCTCTTTGTAAATCACTGTCTCGTTCACTAAATATTTCATATATATTTCATATACATCTTCTTGTATGTGCCATGTCTCTTCAGGACATGACTAATCATGGCTCTCCACAACTTCCTAAAATTTACTACCCTGTAATGTTATTTTTAAAAATACAGATTTCATTTAAATGAAGCTCATATCAAGTAAATGTAAAACCCATTTAAATTTTCAAAATGATTTCTCTACACACCCACCTCCACGAACACTGCCAAACAGAATAAAGACCACTTCTACACGGGTTAAATTTTTCCTGATTTGGCGGGGGGGGGCATCATTTACTGACCAATTTCAAACATTGTTTGCTGAATGAGTGTAATGGTTTTTGAAATCCTTTTTTTTTTTTTTTTTTTTTCCACTGGTGAAACAGAATCCCAAATAAAGGCCTGTACCAAATAACAAAAACCATGTCACTTGAGGACTACCAAAAGCAGCAACTACTAAAATGGATAGCACATGTAACTTAAAGAGTAAATAATGACATAATCAAGATGTTGATATTCCACACTACTTCAAATAAAAGGTTAGAAATACCCCCCCCCTCAATACTGGAAAGAGCAATAACAGCTACTGGACTTGAAAAATCTATTTTCCTGAGAAATTGTTTTAAGAGAAAGATTTTATAAGCATCGACTGAATGCAGTACTGGCTGCCTGATCAATGAATGCCAAATGTTTCCTTGTAGGGAAATGTCTAATATTACCATTTCCATTTTTAAAATTTGATCAATCTCCCCTCATAGATTGAATAAAGTGTTCAGTCTGAAAATTCCCTGAAGGTTCCAAGATCAACAGATACCTGAAGAAGGCAAGACAGCACAGAAGCCAAAATGTGATTTTAACAACAAAGATGAGGATATTAGTCTGATTGTAAATAATGCACAAAAATGTTAGCTCCTTATTCCAGAAATGTATTCATTTACAAGAGCTTAGTAATTGTTGGTGATATCATTTTAAAGAACTGGTTATGATTTCTATCCTATTTAAGTTTGAAAATATTTTCCTAAAATACCACTTCATGTATTGACTAAATGTTTAACATTAAATTATCTTTGCTCCATACTACTCATTGATCTCTAGATGGTTATTTAAAATGTAGTTAGGTCTCTGAAATCTTCAACAGTCATGAAAGTTAAATTTGGGGTGGGGGTTTGATTGTGACACATTTATATCCAGGCCCTCCCTCTACATAAATATGCAAACATTGTAGGATTTGGTATTTTTAAATGAACATATTAAATTGGTTGAGAAAAATCAGATTAAAAAATATAATACTACCTCCATCTCAATAGTTGTTTATATTTTCATAGTTTTCTTTGGATTATTGACAACACTTGTTGATAAATATTATTACCTCTTCCCCATAATGATGAGTACTTAATGTCTTCAAGAGTACAGTTAACTGTTATCTAACCCTTTCAAAAGCTTTCTTCTTTTTCTTTTCTTCACCAAAGAAGAATCTGCAATGTTATTGGTCCTGACCTGGCATCTCGGCTTCAGTCACTTTCCCATCATCGTAATGTACCTTCTTTGTACCTTTTCTAGAAATATTTGCATTGTAATTGTTCTGATGAACTTTCCTCACTGAGAACCCCCTATTTTTGGCCATGTGCCACATCTAAGCTACGATTAGAAAATCATTTCGTTTTTAGAAATTGTTACTTTTATCCAACCCGAGACAAATTGTACATATTGGAATTAAGATTTCATAGAGACTCTGAGGTATTGTGGTGACTGTAGTAAGAATGTGTTGTTTTGGTGTAAGGAATACTGTGGTATGTTTGAGTCAGTAATTGTGGCTAGTTAAGTTTAATTATAAAACAGAAGAAGACAAGCCTTCCACATCCCAACAAACACCCACCCACCCCGTTTGACCATGTACCACATTTTTGTATTTTTTTTTTTTTATAATAAATATTACTTTCCTTTGGTACTGAGACTTTATGAATTTGAGCACAGTACTAGGTTGGTGGCAAGGTGTCATTATTTTACAGTTGAAATGGCTAAACATAATTAGCATTTTTTTGTGTCTCTATTTTAGCAGATGCTATTAATTATGAATGGAAATGTAAGGAAAGTATCGAAAAAAGATAGAATACTGTTATGTTGTTTGCCACAACATTCTAAAAATGGAAACTTGATATCTTGTATGATAGCTGCAGTTTCAAAAAATTGCAAAGTAGTTTACGTGTCAAATAATTTATTCTAATGTTTCTCACAATAAAGGATTTTCCTTAACCAATGAATTCGTAAACAATAAAGTTTTGTTAACCTCTTCCTTTTTTTTTTTTTTTTTAATGTTTTAGTTTGGTTAATTGCTTATCATTGATAAATTTTTATATATAATTTTATATACACAAATTTTTGTGTCATGGGGTTTTTTTTGGTTTTTTTTATATATATATATATAGGTCCCCCCTGTGTGTATGCATTATTGTGATGTGTGCAGGATCGAATGAAGACTAACAAGTTTTTATGGCGGATGTGTAAATTGTAATGAATGAATGGGTTGTGAATCAAATTAGCTAGGTATAAGATAGTGACGACCAGCCTCAACCCATTCCTCCTTTTTGGCCTTGTGCCACAATTGCTGCATTTTCAAGCAATAAATCTCGAGTTAATGTTTTTCTTTTTTTTTCTTTATAAGTCTAACAACTATTTTGGGAAAAAAAATGGTAGCATTGCATTCATTGAAATTTCTTTTAAATTGATAAACTATAGATATTTATTTACTTAAATCATTTAGGCTTACAGCTATATCATGTTAAAACACCGTTTCTCATATGATCACTGAATTTAAGCAACATTGAGCCTGGTCAATACCTAGATGAGTGACCACTTGGGAATATCATGTGCTGTAAGCTTGGATGTGTGGCTGGTGCAGATAATGGCTTTGAATTGTTAATTGGAGAGCTGAGTTCCAATTCCTGTCGAGTTTGTTCACTTACATGCAAATACTTCTTGGGGAATATATGACTCCACCTCTTTTCCCTCCCCATCTAGGACGTATCAGAAAATCATTATCTCAAAAAAATTCTTACAATCTAAAAATATTTTCTGGCTTTAAATTACCTGCAAAAAGTTGATAAGCCGTAAAAAAAAAAAACAAATCAATCTTCTCCCCATTTTTTTTCTTTTAGAATTTGTCTGCTACCCTAGTTACTCAAATAAAATTTAAACTCTACCCCTTGTTCTGCACCCTTACCACACAACTGTCTCTTCTTCCTCACCCTAGAATTCTCGGTTAACTTTAGTGTTGGAAACATTAACCTCAAAAGTGGGTTAACCTTGTTTTCAAATGCCATTTTTCACAGATGCTAAAGGAAAGCAAAATGTTTGGATTTCTTGGTTTGGCAGGAGGATATCTACTGAGAAAGTCAAGCTTGTCACGTTTTCAGTTTTTGATAACTTTAAAATTTGTTTCTTTTCTTCTACTATGTACCATGTCCCTTCAGAATGTGAGTGATTATAGCTCTCCACAACTTCTTTATCCTTTGTAGATCTTAATAAGGTTTGCCTTTTTGCTATCCCTCTCAATCCCTGTACTGCCATCCATCTACTTAAACTTGTTAAGTAGGTTACTCACGGCTTTCCCCTGCCCCCAATATATCCAGTGAGTGTCAAATTCTCCAAGCCCACTTTCTCCTTTATGTGTCCTAGAGATTTTAATTATCACTTTCTGATTCCAATTATTAAGTGTTATTTTTGTTTTCGTTTTCCATAAAACTTCCTCATTACACACATTTCATCCATGGCATTCCCAGCATCCTTCTGGAGAACCACATTTCTGTTGCTTCAAGTATCTTCTTCATCTCTGAAGTTGTCCAGCATTCACTGCCATACAGGAGGACCAATCTTATATAACAGTTCAGAACGCTTTTCTATGATTCAAATGAAATTTTTCTATTTCTTAATACTTTGCTTAGCTTTTTGAAAGCATCTTTCACTAAAACAATATACCTTTGGTTTTTGGTGTCATATTTTCCATCCTGTGTTAAAACACTTCTCAGATATTTATATTTTCATTCTTGCTTGATTTTGGTATTTCCGATTTGTAGTTTGAATCTTGAGCTGTTCCTCTTGTTGATAACCATACATTCTGCTTTCTTACAATCGATGTTTCATCCTTTCTTTTTGCTTTCCTTTGTCACCTTCTGTAGAAGTCCCTCGCAGTTTCCTTTCTGCATCTGCTATCAACACTGTATCTTATGCATATCTTATGTTGTTAAAATAGTGTCCACCAATAATAAATCTTGTAGGATGTCTATTTTGTCAAGATTGCCTCACTGTAAAAGCTGAATAAATCTGGTGAGAAGACAAACCCTTGTCTTACAACCTTTTCTATATTTGTGTATTTGCTGAACTGTTCTGTGCTTTGCTTCCAATATAAGTTCTGGATTATTGGAATATCTTTTCTAAATAAAACAAACTTACCTAACAGTTCTAAAGGACATTGTCTAAAATAGTTTATTTATTTTAAATTCAATATGAACCTTTTCTTGAAAAATTGAAACTAAATATTGAAATGTAGCATTTGGATTTTGGGAAAGTATTAATGTGAGAAGGAAGGCAAGATTACTTTTATGTCTGGAAATGATGCCATCAAATTAATCAACCTAATAAAAATTGAATTAGTTTCTTCATGTAAAGATATTGTAAAAAGTTGCTATGGCCCTTACCTTCAGTTAAATACAGAAACAAGAATAAAAGTTATTGGAAAAGAAAATCTCACTTTAACTTGCGTACTCTGTGCCCCAAAGTGAAAGACCACTTAAGGACAGTGGATTAAAACCTTCGATTGAAATCACTTATGAACAATTCTATGACTCAAGAAATTCATTGATACCATTTCAGAACCTTATCAAATGAATATATCAGGAACTGAATGACTAACCTTTTTTTCTTTCTCTCTTTTTATTTTATTTTTTCTTTCTCTCTTTTTATTTATTTTGTTTCTTTGTTTCTCTTTCCTTTGTCCCTTGTTTGTTTCTTTCCTTTGTCCCTTGTTTGTTTCTTTCCTTTGTCCCCTGTTTGTTTCTTTCCTTTGTCCCCTGTTTGTTTCTTTCCTTTGTCTCCTGTTTCTTTCTCTCCTTCTCTCTCATTCTCTCTTCTCTCATTCTCATTCTCTCATTCTCATTCTCTCTCATTCTCATTCTCTCTCATTCTCATTCTCTCTCATTCTCATTCTCTCTCATTCTCATTCTCTCTCATTCTCATTCTCTCTCATTCTCATTCTCTCTCATTCTCATTCTCTCTCATTCTCATTCTCTCTCATTCTCATTCTCTCTCATTCTCATTCTCTCTCATTCTCATTCTCTCTCATTCTCTCTCATTCTCATTCTCTCTCATTCTCTCTCATCTCTCATTCTCTCTCATTCTCTCTCATTCTCATTCTCTCTCATTCTCATTCTCTCATTCTCTCTCATTCTCATTCTCTCTCATTCTCTCTCATTCTCATTCTCTCTCATTCTCATTCTCTCTCATTCTCATTCTCTCTCATTCTCATTCTCTCTCATTCTCATTCTCTCTCATTCTCATTCTCTCTCATTCTCATTCTCTCTCATTCTCATTCTCTCATTCATTCTCTCTCATTCTCATTCTCTCTCATTCTCATCTCTCTCATTCTCATTCTCTCTCATTCTCATTCTCTCTCATTCTCATTCTCTCTCATTCTCTCTCATTCTCTCTCATTCTCTCTCATTCTCATTCTCTCTCATTCTCTCTCATTCTCATTCTCTCTCATTCTCTCTCATTCTCATTCTCTCTCATTCTCTCTCATTCTCTCTCATTCTCATTCTCTCTCATTCTCATTCTCTCTCATTCTCATTCTCTCTCATTCTCTCTCATTCTCTCTCTCATTCTCTCTCATTCTCATTCTCTCTCATTCTCATTCTCTCTCATTCTCATTCTCTCTCATTCTCTCTTCTCTCATTCTCATTCTCTCTCATTCTCTCTTCTCTCATTTTTGCTCTTTCATCTGTTCATTCTCTCTCTCTCTCCACTTTCTCTTTCTCCCTTTTTTTTTTTCTTCTCTTTGCTATTGGTAGTGTAAAAGGAAAAATGCTCATGTGATGAAATAAACAAATATATATTATTTATTTATTTTTGCCTTGGTTCTCTCACATGATTCAAGCATTGTAAGACAAAAAATAAAGTGAAAATAGTCAAACCAGTTTTGATCAGTTGTATTGAACAGACTTGGCTCAGTTTTCCCATGACAAATTGATATGATTTCTAAATTGCATAACCAGTTGGTTTCATCCACTTGTCTGAATAATTTTTTTCTCTATATATTTATGTATAATTTTGCAAATTTTTCAATTTTCAACTCTCTTCTTTACGCCCTTCATATTTACAGCAAGCCAAATATTTTAATTTATAAATCAATGTGTATCCATATGTAAATATTTTTTGTATATGTAACACTTTTCTACATTCTCTGGGAAGATAGTGGAGTGTTTTCCCCATTGCCTTCTCCACTGTTCAGAATTCAGTTTTCCTTCTCTTAGACTGCTTGCCACCCAAGGCTAGAGATCTTAATCTACACTACTATTTAACCCCTAGCTGAAGGGGAGAAGAAACACTCATACTTTTCACAAGTGCATGGGTGTGAAAGCGAATGATATTTGAACTCTGATCATCAAATTCCTCTTTCTACACCAATTCTTTTATAGTATCTGCACATTGATTTTGGTCTCTGGCAATATTTGAGTTTTTAAAATGATAGACACTAAAATAAGTATTTCCAAGATTTTTAGTTGATACTTTGTTAATTATATCATTAATTGGAACAAGTCATTGGGACCGAGGTGTGGAAACTGTTACCCATGCCAGATAATGTGCTCTCTCCTGTAAAACTGTAGCTAAAGTTCATTCAGCATAAACCACTGGTGGGTTCTGTAGGTATTGAACAAACACAAATGTACCTGAGCAGGTGTCTGCAATAGGGAATGGCTAACTGCCCAAGCAGACATGCATAATCAGATACAGGCGACCAGCCATTACTTATGTAATTTATTTTTTTATTTGAAAGATTCTGTTGCCAATTAGGGCAGTTGCTGACACCCACAGCATGAATGTAGTGTTGAAACTGTAACAGGAAAATAAAAGACCTGACTTAATGGCAAACTATATTGTGGCTACTTCACTTGAGTTGCAACTTCCTTCGTCTTTGAATTACACTTGACAAGATCTTAGGGCACCACTATGTCACATCCTGGATGTTTGTAGAAGTGTTTATATAACAAAGACAGATTTGTGGTTGGCTCAATGATTAAACATACTTTACTGCAGACATGCAGATTTTCTTCCAAAGCTCATTTGATTATACTTAAAGACACTAATGAGAAGGAGAAGGTCAGTTCAAAATTTAGTAACACTTTGCTTTCAAATAGCAGTTGGAGAAACTAATTGTGTATCTTTGCATATATATATATATATATATATATATAATTTTTTTTAATTGGTATCACTCCATGCAAGGCAGTAAAGCAAGACACAAGGGGAGTTACTAGGTGTGGAAGAATTAAGAACAGAAACAAGGAACATTAATAATGAGCAGGAAAAGGAAAGATTAATCAGGAGGATAGTGATTGAATTAAAATTTTTGCAGATTAAAGTTGGCAGGAAAGCATGGAGCTAGAAGGGAGTTCCACAAGTGAGAAGTGCGAGAAAAGAAACTGTTAGCATAGAATTTATGGTTACATCTAGCCAGCTCAACTATAAATTGATGAGGTCTTAATGCCTGTCTAGTACTGCAATTAAATTCAAAAAGCCAAGGTACCATAGCGACCAGCTGGACAGTAAGACGTCTGTCATCCAAAAACCATAGGATGAATGACATCAATTTGTTCATCAGTGGCTGAGATTTTTGGACAATTTGACTGAGGGTCATCTTCTGTGCTGTCCCTGCCGTTCCTTGAATTCTGCAGCCCACTTCTTCCCAATTGCATAAGAGAGGAGTCGTCATCAAGTGTCTATACCATGTCCACATGGATTTCCTTGAGTTGTCATATCTTTCTTTTTGCACATACTTTATGATTGCTTGGACTTTTGTCCAGTTTTAGATTTGTCATTTACCTCTCAGCTTTGTATGGGCCTCACCTGCAGAGATATTAAGACAGAAATTGGAATTAGTTTTTCAAGAAGTGGTAGTGTGTTGCTACAACGAAAATGCGCAGCTATGGCTCTTCTTTCTGGGTGAGGCTTAGGACCTTTTAAATAACCTTCATACCTTTATCATTATCTCACAAGATAAACGGATGCCTACTAATGCCTGAAATTACAAGTGGACACATGTATACATCTTGTGTCCAGATGTACATGTCTCCCTCCCCATATGTGAATTTATGTTCAAGTGTATGTGGTAATTATAATATTAACCACTTCTTTAGAATATATTGACTGGGCAGCCAGTGCTACCACTGGTTGATATTCATATATTATGAAATGGACTAAGTTTGACAATTACTTTAACATATTTTTTATTTATACTTTTTTTATACACACAAATATTTAAGTAAATGCTCCGTTTATAATAAACAACATTAACAACATTTACTGGCTTACATGTCCAAAAAATCTCCAAGAAAATATGTGTCCTCTGACAGGAATCGAACCTGTATCCTACATGGAACCACCATATAGCCTGACGTGATATAGCATTTAACTACAGAGGAAGCATCTGGTTAGCAAGATTAAATTATATTAAAATAATTGTCAGACTTAGTCCATTTCATAATATATTATGTCATTTATTTACGTTAAGATAAGGTTTGAGCAGATGTGAGTGTTTGAGAGAAATCCTGGGAAGTGTGCAGTTCAAAAACAGTAATTTAACCTTGCTAACCAGACACTTCCAGATTTAGCTGGAAAGTGAGCAGCCAGAAAAGTTTGACAGGCAAAAAGTGTGAGAAAAGAAACAGCATAGAATTTAGTTATATCTAACCAATTCAATTTTAAAAATGATGAGACCTTATTGCCAATTTAGTACTGCACTTCATAGAGTTTATGAACCATAGACGAGAGTTCATCTTAATAATTATGATAAAAGTATTTATAGAAAGTAACAGGAACACTACATTATGGTAGTGAAGGGACTGAATCCAAGTCAGGACCAATAACATCGCAGGTTTTTTTTTTTTTTTTTTATTTGAATAACACACACACAGAGGAGGCATGGTGGAGTAGTGGATGGCAGCTTCGATTGAGGAATCCATTACATCCCCTTATGTGCTAATACTTTCCAGCTATGGGTAAATAGCAGGACAGACTGGGTTCTATGGCCTTGGATGAGGACAGCTCTGAATACAAAAACCACAGAGGGTCATTTGGGGACCTTGTGGCACATAGTGCACCAGGTCTCTGTATTTGACCCTTCAAAAAAGTGTTGTTGGCTCTGCACAAAGCCTTCACCACTATAATCAAATCATATATGCTGGTGTCTGGGCTCTTGGTTCCTAGGAACTGAGCTGCTGCTTGTTGACACTCATACATCAAATACAATGGGAGTCCACTATATATATATATATATATATATATATATATATATATATATATACACACACACACACACACACACACACCTTTTATACACATACCTACATCTTCTGGGTGGTCTTGGAAAGACTACCCAAAAATCAATTTTTTTTTTTTGTGTCCAAAATTTGTTTGATAAGCAACATGTATTAACCAAAGTTGAAAAGTCAATATTTACAAAAGAAGTATCACTGCCTTGATTCTGGAAGATTTTTACACTACCCAATTTATCTGAAAAATGACAATCTGACATAAATAATCTTGCACAAGATATTAAAAAAAATTTTTTTTTTTTTTTTTTTTTTTTAAGTAAATCTACATGTTCACTCAGTTGTGTCTGACTGAGTAACCCCTTGGGAGAGTGTCTGCATATTTGCTAAGTTACATTAAAACAGAATAAACCATTCTCAAAATTTTCAAAATAATTGTATACATTCCAAATAGCCTTTTGCATAACTGAAAGTGCTGACTCCTCTTCATTTGATGCAAACTTAAAATGCATAATAAAAAATAAAAGCACCAATTTGAAAGGGGATTTAAAAAAAAAAAAAAAAACCTGTAGAACTTCTCAATAAAATATTGATATTTTTTAAATTTTCGATGTATGTAATCATGGCTCTCCACAGCTTCCTTCTCTTTAACATCTGTAAATTATGAATCAATATCACTGTTCTATGAAAAGATAATGGAGTAGTTCCTCATTGTTTTTTCAACTGTTTTGAATGTTCTTTTTACCTGGTCACCTCACCAAGGCAAAAGATCCTAGTCGTCCCTTCTGATTTTTTTACTCATAGCCTATGGAGAAAAGATTGGATTCATGCCTTTTCTTATGTACATTTGTACAAAGTGTATGCTTACCATCTTAACTGGAATTTGAATTGATTTCTGTAAATGGTCACATGTTGGGCCTTTTTGTTTTACCCTTAAAAAAAAAAAAATTGTTTTTAAAAAAAAAAACAATTAATTGACCATAGTCGTGTTTATTGGAGGCTTCATTGATATCAAAATAATTAAAAAATATTCATATTTATTGTTTCTTTTTCTTTCAGCATTTCATTAAATGTCATTTTGTTGATCTTCTAAAATCATTTTCTTTTTCTCTTCTTTATGCAGAAAAAGTCCTGCTATCCAAATCGTAAGTATTTTCCATTTCTACCAACATTTCATGTGCCTTGAATGTTACACTGACCTTCAGCTTTTGATAAAAAAACAAACTTTCCATTGGTATGATTGAAATTAATTGCACAGTTATATTTTCATGTCATTTTATTATCGGGTGTTTCAGAAAACAATGCAGGTTTTCTTATTCTATATTTTAACCTGTGCTTTTAAATGTAAAAAAAAAACATGCGAAAAGGCAAAATTATGTATTGTTTTAAAGAGACTTTTATATACATTTTATGTAAATGATACTTTTTTTTTTTATTTACTGCATATATATTTTCTAGACATCTTAACAAAGATGTCAAAAAAAGAATTTTGTCAAATTTACTTTTATGAATATAATCTTGGCCGTCATCCAGTTTAAACTGCTCAAAACATTAAAAATGTTTGAGAAGAAAGATCTATTAATGAATGCACAGTGCAACATTGGATTCAGAAGTTTTATCATGGCAAAGAACAGCTTTGAACATAAGACAGGTTGTGGACATCATGATTCCTTTGAAGATGAGTAATTGTAAACATTAGTGGAGGCAAATTCTTACACTACTGTTTGAGAACTTGCAAGAGAGGTGCAAATATTAGATCAATTTCTGGACATCTTAACAAAATAGGAAAGTTTAACGAGTTGCAGAAATAGGTACCACCCAAATTGAATGAAAACCAAAAGAATCGTTATGAAGTCCATTCGGCTCTTCCTTTAAAAAAATGAAAAAAATCATTATTTACACAAATATGATTATTTAAAATGATTATTTGGACTGTTTTCCTCATCTTTCTTGTCATACTCACAATGTTTCGACCATTGTACACTCCAGCCTTCTTCATGTGACTGGAATTTCAAATCAATCCCTTTATTTCATCCACCGGAATAGATTCGTTCTTAATGGATAAAACCGTTGGTTAAATTAATCCAGTGATTTGACCCAAACATTTGTGAGTTCAATAGCCAACGACAGCAGAGGTGAACAAAAATTTGGAGAGAACAATCTATCCAAGTCAATGAAGTGATTTGAAATTCCAATCACCTGAAGAAGTCCAGAGCATACAATAGCCGAAATATCATGAATATGACAAAAAGATGAGTACAACAGATCAAACAATGTAAATAGTGTAAATACGTCATCTTAAGAAAGAAAAATGATCCATTTCTCAATCGTTTTGTGATATGCAATGAGAAACAGATCCTATATGATGACTGACAACATTCAGGGCAATGATTGAATTGAAAGAAGATTCCTAAACACTTCCCAAAGCCAAAGTTCCACCAAAAGGTTATGGTGACTGTTCGTTGATCTAAAGCTGGATTGATTCATCAAAGCTTTCTAAATCCTAGGGAAATGATTACAATTGATAAGGACTGCCAATAAATCTATCAAATGCATCAGAAATTGCAACATATGTGTCCAGCACTGGTTAAGAGAAAAGGTTCAGTCTTCTTGCAAGACAATTCTTGTTAACCATATGTTGCACAATGAATGCTACTGAAATTGAATGAATTTGGCTACCAAACTATACCTCATCCTCCTGACTCACCTGACCTCTCACCAAATGATTATCATTTTTCCAAACATTTGAACAACTTCTTAAAAGGAAAAATTTTTAACTATTCAAATGCTGTCCAAAATACCTTCCAAGATTTTGTTGCCTCCAAAACTTATTCCATTCGCAAAAAAAGTTCGAATGACACTTGTATCTTATTGTCAAGAACATGTAGACTCTACTGGCTCTCCTTTTGGTTAATAAAAATTCTTCTGAAGTATGATCTCTCATTTTAAAAATAACAGTTAAAAACCTGCATTATTTTCTGAACAATCTAATATATTACAAATGGAATTTTGAAATTCTCTTTTCTTCAAAAATGGTAATCCAATTTACAAACTGATAATTTATAATACTCTGATAATTATTTTTTAAAAAATGGATGTATGACTGTCATTTTTCTGGTGATGAAACTGTATTTTTTGGTTCAAATTTAAATTTTTTGATTTAACAGACTTAGATAAATGGATTATTTGTTAATAGTTGTAGGGGACATCATTATACCTGCAAAATTTAAATGCAAAAAAAAATATAATTTTTTTATCCATTAGTTAAAGTCATTTTATTAAGAATTTCTTTCACTTTTCTTTTTTCTTTCTTTTCTTTTCTCTCTTCTTTTTCCTCTTTCTCCAACATTTCTCTTCATCTTTTTCTCCTTTCTTTTTCTTTTTTCTTTCTCCCTTTTGCTCTCTTATTTCTCTTTTTCTTTCTTTTTTCTCTTTCCTTTCTTTATTTCTCTCTCTCTCTCTCTCTCTCTCTCTCTCTTTAGATTTTTTTTTTTTAATTTATGCTTACATTATTTATTTCCCTGGTTGACCTTAACTTCTCTGTCTCTCACTGGACCTAGTTTTTGATTTGCTTGGATGGTCAAAATTCTTGAGCATTGTACTTGTTTTCTTTGTACATTACAAAGCAAAAGAAATCTATATTTTTGTAATATATTTCCTGTCTATAAAAGTGCTATATATATATATATATATATATATATATATATATATATATATATATATATTTTTTTTATTCTACAGTTTGGTCTCCAGACTTGAAATTGTCATGGCCGAATGATAAAAGCATCACCATTCAGTTTGATCCTTCAATGACAAATTTCACCAGTTTCAATGTCACTTTACTTAAAGATAACAAAAAATTGGATAATAGAAAAATCAATGAGGTAATTTTTTTTTTACTTTTTTATAATATACTTTTACTGTCATATAACATGCCCTTATAATTTGGCAAAGAACATTAAGGAAAACGTTTGTAATTGTTTTTTTATATTTTCATGTTATTTTGATTTCTAATTATAATTCAATCAGTCACTTTAAAATAAATATATAAGAAGGCATGGTAGAGTAGTGGATAGTGGCTCCGATTGAGGAAATGGAGAGCCAAGTTCAAATTCCAATCAAATCCATTACATTCACTTACATTGCTAATACCCTTGGGAAAGAAACGAATCCTCCTCTTCTCCCTCCAGATATATTTGAAAAATTAAAAATAAGTCATATTTAGATAATTTATATCAAATTTAAGTAAGAATATATTTAAAAAATTTACAATTAATAAAAAAATGTGTTATATTAAAGAATGAAAAATATATTTAAAAATATAACAAAATAAAATAAATTATACATGAGAAAAATATTTAACTTTAAAGGTAAGTTAACAAGTTATATTAAAAAAAAAACAATACAAAGTTATATTTAAAAAAAAAACTTTTAAAAAATGTAGATAAAGAGATGTAAGTGATAAAAAGAAAGCAAGTTCTTAGAACAGGGGACAATTATAAGATATAATTAATATGGTGAAAAAATGTAAATATAGAAATAAGAAATAGTTATACATTTAACATTTGAAGAGTTAGAGAATTATAAGGTAATAAAGTGAAATATATATTATGGAAATTTAAATTTGTTTTTATGTCAACATTTTAAAACTAATTCATTCCTTTCATTATGTATTTTATTATTCTAAATTTTTCTTCCATATGAGGTAATTTTGGATATATATATATATGTTTCATTAAAAACGACAGACAAGGTACTACGGTTGAGCTTTTTATTTAATTTTTCTTGTGTTCTGACAAGAGCTTTCTTTTCTGGACAAAGAGTGTGTAAGAACTGTCTGAATGTTCTGTATTTCCAAGCGCTTTCGGCTATATCTTTAGCCATTATCAAGGATGATTCGATTATCAGCTTAGTAGAGTGTGTGTGTTCTGTGTATGTTCGGTGTGTGGTAGTGATGTTTTTAGTTTCCAAATACAGTTAGAACATTGTGGCTTTGTTCATAGTTAATATTGTTTAGAGTTGGCTTTTTCTTTTTTATTATTAGAGCTTCCATTATTTTTAGTCTTTTTTTGCAAGTGGATGCAGTTAATATATTTGTGTTTTTTACTAGTATGTTCCTAATAGTGTCGGGTAAATCTGAGTGTGTGTTTAAATGTGTTCTGATGGAACTGTGATCAGATAGGTGTAATGTAAGACGTCTGGATGAACATGTGGTTGTGTAGCCGATGTAATTATTTATGAGTCCATTACATCATTATACAAAAAACTCACCAAACCGGATTGCTGCCTAAATAGACAAATATATATATATTGGCAGCATGTTTTCATTAAGACATGTCTTATTAAATAATTTAGACAAGTTTTGTCTACTTATTTATAATATGATCCTCTCATGTTCACAGGCAAGCTTCTTAGTATCCTTATTAAAGAAAGAAAGTTACCATATTGATGCATATTCATTTATTCCAAGTACTTTTGACATTAGCAAAATTTCATCTTCAGGGTCTTGTTTTATCTAAAACAAATTTGTTGTGCTTATCGAAAAATTGAAATTTTTATTTGTGAAGTAAAAAATACTAATTTATTTACTGAATGATTTTTAAATTTTATGATGTAAGCATACTTGTGCAATGACGTTAAGGAATGTAACTAAGTTATTAATAGGTATTTTTAAAAAAAATTTTAAGTTATTAATTAAAACCTAGATATTTTAAACTATCTACTGTAAACATTTTAAAACATTTGTGCAGTATTCATAATTAATTTTATTAAGGGTTGCTTTCAATTTTTTAATATAGATATAGATAGCATCAAGAATTTTTAGTTTATGTTTATTATTTTCATGAAATAGTATAGATGTATTTTCAACAAGAATTTTCCTAAATTGTGAATGTAGACAGGCATGCTGTTGTAAATGTTTATAAATGTTAGATGCATCATTCAAATGAAAACTCAATCACTGACACAATGTAGTTGTAGTGTGACCAACATAAATATTATTTTTTCTCTTGGAGATACAATCTCTTAAGGGACATTTAAATTTATATATAATGTTGGTTTTCTGCAACAAGTTAATTGGTGGGGAGGAGTCATTACAAATGATTAAATTGAATATATTTAATTTAGTATAGTATATAATAATTTTATTTTTTTTACTAGGATCTGTGGTGTATATATTAATATTTATTAGTTAGGATATTTTCATCCTGTTTATAATTAGAATGTATTTGATTGTGATATAAAAGATTAATATGTTTAGAATTATTTGAAGAAGTATTCTATTTGCTTTATATTAAAATTTCTAATAGAACATTTCATTTGTTCATTGAATTATGGCACTATTTGTCCTTATATTGTCAAAGTCTGGTAAGACAAAAAGAATTATGGCACTCTTGTATCCTCCACACGTTTTGTTTGACCTTTCAACCACCTGATGAATATTCATAAACATTCATAAACCAATGACATCCTTGCTTTTGTATATAAACACATGCAACAAAATAAACTTTTACATTTGCCTTGATAAAGTCAGTCAAGGTGCAAAACATCAACTAAGAATAGTTTTTTCCTCTTGTCTTCATTTTGCTTCTTTACAGATACACTTTATCTGAAAATACACACAGATTTAATATATATATATATATATATATAAATATAAAACCGATTTTACTGCCTAGCAAACACAATAGCCTGTAAATTACTGGAGTTTAATACATTTAAAGATGAGCAGAATTTTATGCTCAATATTGAAAAATAGAATAACGACAGTCAATAGATAAAAGTGTTTGATACAAATACCTTTTTAAATTTTATTAAAATTATAAAATCAAACAATTTTAAATATTGTATTGTTATAAAAGTTTTTAGTGTTTAAAATTGCTATCAGATCACAATGTTTTTGGTATAGAACAGGCTTGAACTTTGCTTGGAGTCAATGACTAATGTTCATTATTTAGTGCATGTATATAGATATAGGATAGATATAGTTTATATATATATATATATATATATATGTGTGTGTGTGTGTGTGCGCATTTATTTTCTTTAATCAATGAAATCATTCTTGTTAAGAGTCCTGATAAGTGATGATAAAATTACAAAAATTACTGACAAGTATTGAACATTATTATTATTATTATTAAATTAGAATTAATAGTGTATACATATATATTTTTGCAGTGATGTTCACCCTGCATAAGAACCACTTGGGATAGAGGGTTAGAGAGTAAGAGACACAGGAATATAAGGGGGGATGATAACAATCAGCTCTAGATTTGAACAAATTAAGATTATAGTGATCAGCAAAGCATCCTCTTGGTAGTTGGTCCCACTAAGCAGTAGTTCATTTTTTATATATATATATATATATATATGGTTCTTTTTTGGGGTGGAAAAGCCTTTTGGACAGGCATGTTTTTCTCATAAAGTGCTCAATATCAAAAGTTAGGATAGAATGTTAATAGAATTAATCTGGAGAAGTTTATCATTTAGCCGAATGTAAGAAATGAAACATCCTGCAGTGTCTCTCTAACTTTTACACAATTTAGCATCCAAAATGTTTGTAACACATATATTTAAATATTATCTGTTACTTCCTTACACATGACACATATCTAACCAATAAGAAATAGGCAAACACAACATACCATTAATCTGCATCTCTTTGCTTTTTATCATTTCTATCTTGATAACTGATGAAGCTTTAATAAAGTCCGTCCTGGGTATGACGATAAACTACATCTGCGTCCTGGGTAAGACAATAAATTACGTCCAACAGCATTGGCCTCTGATCAGGAGGTTTTGAGGATCATGGAACCAACTTTTTAAATAGAATGATGAAGAAAAATTTTTTGCCTCAGGGGCTGAACAAGTTAATATACTGGGTAAGGGAATAATGAGGTTGGTCGGAAGTAAAAAGAAATTACTGTAAATTGTCTAATAACATCTCATCATTTTAGACAGCAATCATTATCATTTTAAACTATTAATAATGTTAATAATATACAACATAAATAATTAAATAAAAAATATAAAACAATGAATAGAACTAATAAATTTAGATAATTATAAAGAACAAATTTAAAATATAAAAAAATAGATAAGGATAAAAATAATAAAGATAATATTATTAATAATAGTAAAATATCGATATAAATTATTAAATAAGAAATTAAATATTTAAAATTTATAAATGATGTAACCATAAGCAGACACATAAATAATTCAATATATCTACAGATCTATATATAAAAAATGTGTGACAAGCAATATAACTACATGAATTCACATACATACATATGTTTGTACCCTTATAAAAAAAAAAAAAAAAATGAACACTTCAAGTATATATCCCCCAAAGTCAATGTTTTTAGGGAATTAAATTTGCTCTTATGTCTACACTTGAAAATAAGTTTCTTTCTTTGATTCAATAATTAGTTAGCATTTTTATATTTAATTATTATAATTTTCTCTTGTATGCATAGACTGCATTTGCCCCGGAAGTTGAGCTGAGACTGGCAGATGTTATTCCATTTAATCTGTGGGGTGAAGCATCTATCTTTAAGTCTTTGATAATGCTTAGATAGAGCAGTTCAATGTATTATGGTTCCAGAATATTAGAAAGAAAAATAAGGTTACTTTTATCCAATTTGACATTATAAATTTCTACACCTTCATTTCAAAAGATCTATTATTAAAAAGTTTAAATTTTACTAAAAACTATGACATCACTGATGATGAATTCAAAATTATCTTAGCTTCTAGATAATCTTTACTAATATATAACAATTCTATTTGGTGGGAATTTTAAATTAAAAAATCTTCTTAAATATAAAATGCATGGATCTGAAAAGAAAATTCATAGGAAGTCAAAAATCAGTACATTTTTGTGGGGGACACCTTGTATATACTGTATATTTCCACATATAAGACAACCTTTAAATCCAAAAAATCACCCTTAAAAATTGGGGGTTATTTTATGACAATTCTAAAAAAAAAAATAAAGAAGCCTTAAATTCTGAGTGATGTTTATTAGTAGGCTAATTAGTGCAATAACCAATAACGTACATGAAAAGATTCATATTATGAAATAAACTGATAATAAAAGTAATAAAACCATTTCTATCTTATATAATACTGGCATAACTTCATAATAAATTACCAAATCAAAGAATAATTCCCTATCAATGAAAGCAACTTGTATCTATGCAAGCTCAGCTGAGAAAATGTAAACATCGAGTTATGATTGCGTTCACAGCAAACTTTTGTTAAATTTTCAACAATCATTATGGTATTGTTAATTATGGCAGTAATAACATTTAGGATAACATAATATTTATTTCTCATTAAAAAAAGTAAAAGGCTATTAGTACACCAGGTTGTTTGTGTTTAGATGTAGGAAAAGAAGAGGAAAAACATGATATAGAATCATTGGTTATTTCGTTTATTTTCAATTTCTAAGGATACATTAAGTAACAACATTTCCAATAACATCATCTTTATAAGATCATAAGCAGTCATCTTATACTATGTGTGCAGGATAAATTTGTGAAAATTTGCTATTCCACCAGGTTTGACATTCACAGCTAGGATCCACCATGTCACTTACATAGTAACAAACCATCCTCATTCCCTTTTTATTCCATCGGCAAAAAGTAAGTTCCACTCAAACAGCTTCTTCCAGCAAACCAAAGCTCTCTGGAATAGACTCTCTAGAATCACTACAATCTTAACCTATTCAAGTCTATACTTAATCATTATCTTCCTCTGCTATCCATATAAACTACCCCATTATTGTAACCCTCTACCTTGAGTGGCCCCCCAGGCCTTGTATAGGGTGAACTTTACTGTAGAAAAAAAAAAATTTTTGAACTCATCTTATCCAAAGGTCACCTTATATGCAGAAAATTGTTGTAAGACAATTTAGAAAAACTTCTATTTTGATATATTTCATGAATGAACTGACTTTATCAGAAACAGAATTTAACAAAATAATATCTTCAATTATAAACAATTATTTTAGAAAGTGAAAATTTCGCTGAAATATGTTGGGAAAATTCTAAGTTTTCATGTGAAATCAAAGATGATATTAAGTTTAAACAAAATGGCTGAAATATATTTAAAAAAGATGTAGGCATCAATTGATGCCAGGAGGATGAGTTAAAATAGTGATTTTGTAAAGTGGGGGTAAGAAGTGGGGAGCATATTTTAGTTTATATATTTACTATAAATCCCAAATTGTTTACTCCCATGACACATGTGACCTGCTAACTGAGGAGGGGGCTGAAAATTAATTATCTATGAGGGTAACTTAATTCCTTATGAGACTGAAGATGCTAAGCCCCTTCAATCAATACAGCCCATCAATCTAGGATCTACAAGGACATTTTTTTTTTTTTTTTTTTTTTTTTTTATTATTCTGCTAATAGGAGTACACAGGTTCGCCTCTCATCTGATTCATACTCTTCCCCAGCCTTTTCAACAGGAATAGTTTATTCTTTGTTTCTCTTTTAGAATTGGAAAGTCTACTTCAATTCTATACGCCTAATATCCCTGCCTAAAGTCTGAAATTTTATTTACTTTTTATTTATTTTTCCTCAATAGGAGTCGATAGGTTTGCCTATAATTTGGTCCACTTTTATTCCTCATCTTTTGAGCAGAAATAGAGGTTTATCCCTTGTTTCCCGTTTAGGATTGTGTTTCCGATTCCTTCTAAAGATTTGTTTCCTTCTCTTTCACTCCCAGTAGCCCCTTGCATCTTTGTGGCATTATTGTCTTGCTTGGGGTAAAAAGATTGAAAAAAAATAAATTAATAAAAATGCCAGTAAAGTTGTTGTTAGCGACATAGTAAATGGAATTTTCATCCCAAATTTGAACTCTCATTCACTTCACACTAATGCCTTTGAAAAAGGCAAGAACAAGAATAAATGATGCCAATTAACATTGAAAGTAATTCCTGCTTAGAAGAAATTGAAATTTATTTGAAATTGTAAGAATGATATTTAATTTTTTGTCAGCACTAAAACATCTGATTTTTTTTCTTTTTCCAGTCGAATATCAATTATACATTAAAATGCAACGGGAAATACATGTTTACAGTAAGTATTATATGTATCTGTTTTACAAAGTGTTTGTTTTAGTTGTAAGATTGGAATAAGTACCTGGTTTTTTGTTTACTGTGTTTTTGGTCATGGAAAATTTCAAATTGTTTTCTACACATATATATATATATATATATATATATATATATATATATATACACATACACCAGAAGAGTTAATAATTTTTTTTCTAAATGATGCAATGTTGTTTTCTTTTTAAGATTAAAAAGGAATTTGAAAGTAAGATTAACTACTTTTTGTAAATAATTTGAAATTAACAATTAAATTTCAAATATTCTTCTTTTGAAAATAACAATTAAATTCCAAAGACTCTTCTTTCAAAATAACAGATTCCAAGTTTCTTCAACTGAATTTCCCTCCAAAGAATATCAAATAACACTTGGAACAATGGAATGATTCTTATCCCAAATATAAAAGAAGAGATTATGGCTGAGATGAAAGTGTAGTATCTGTTCTCTCCTCATTTGATATGGGAGATGGTGCTCAATCACGGGGATTCCAACCTTGTGGCAGCAGTTTCCTCATTGCACTAAGAGAGTTGGCATTAAGCACAGTACTAGATTGGCAACTAGGTTTCAGCATTTTACAATTGATATTGGTGGATGTAATTAAAATTTCAATGCTAGTAGTTTGTCCTCTTGCACTTCTCACTTGTGGAAAACTCTTCTGGCTTTTTTTCTTCCCCATACAATTTAATTTTCAAAAATTTAAATGCAATGTCAGTCATCAGATTCTTTTTTTTAATTCACTTTCTTTTATTGTCCTTTCTTGATAACATTTTCATGGTTCTTTTCACTCTCAGTAACCCCTTACATCTTAGTGGCTTTATTACCTTGTTTGGGATGAAATGATTAAGAAAAACGAAAGACCTTCTCTGACAACTTATTTCTGTTCATAGAATGGGTATTCAGCTAGTTGACATTTAATAACCTAAAAAATATTGCTATGTCCTTAAATTAACCAACATAAACTAACTTTAACTTGAGTCTAAATTGAACCTGTGTTTACCATCTCATTTTTATTGCAACACGTATTTCTTCTTATAACCATTAATTAAAAAGCTGTAAACAAAAACAATGCAGCATTGAGTAAAAAAGTATTTATCTATAAAATTCCAATTAAATATTTTTCTGTTTAGCTTGGAAAAGGTATGAATCCATATCTTTTCCTCCCCACTATGGGTTAAATCGGACTTGTATCTGGAAAAATCATTCACTGATATCATGTCTTCCCTCTGTCTCTTCTACAAATATTTTTATGGCAACTGTTCTGATGAAATTTTTACCTTGAATTCCTGACTAGATTGGCAATTAGGTCTTAACATTTTACTGTTGAGCTAGCTAAATGTCACCATGACTTCTACTCCAACTGTTCCTTTTCTCACACTTTTCAACTATGAAATTCCCTTTTGATTTCTTGCTTCCCTGATAACTACAATCTTCAAAAATTTAAATGCAATGTCAATCACCATCTTCTGTCTTCTTGAACCCTGTTCCTTTTTTTTTTTTTTATCCTTTCCTCAATCGTCCACACTAAAGTTTTCTCTTTAACTCTCTATAACACGAATGTTCTTTTAGTATTATTGCTTTGCGTGGCGTAAAATGTTTTTTAAAAAAAAAAAAATCTACCAAAAAATTGTAAAAATGAACATGAAAGCTTCGATTATGTTTACTACTACCACTACATGTGGTACTACATGTGGTACTACATGGTGCAAATAAATAAGAAGAGATGAAGTCTGAAAGTAATAATAATGACAATGCTTCTGCTAAGTTTGGACAACTTAAAAAGAAAAATGTGTCCTCCAGCAGGATATGAACCTGCATCTGCTTTTGCAGAAAGAACCACTGTCTGATCCAGTATGCTTTAGACCCATCAGCCATGGAGATCCTCATAGCCAAGCAAGGTTCTTTGATTTTGTCTGTTAGTTGTTTTTTGCTTAGTGGCATATTAATTTCTCTAATGCCGAAATCTAAATCAAATATTTCTCACATTGTTTTCCTTGTAGTATTTGTGTCTTACAGGGACTATATGAGTACACTCAGTTAAAATGTGTTTCACCATGAGTGCAGCTTACCTTTCTGCTGGGGTGTATATTCTACACCCCCATCCAACAGAGTAGGCAAGGTTCTGTTTGCCTTAAATCAATATCTCCTTGTTTGTTTTTTTTTTTTTTTTCCAAAAGTCATATCTGCCTAGTTTCATATTTGAAATACAAACAAAGCAATTTCTAAAGAGTCAATGGATTTTTATTTTTTCTATTCCTAAATGTTTATTAAGTTTAAATGTGCTGGCCAATAGATAAACACTGTTTAAAAAAAAATAAACAAAAAAAAAACAGAATGTTCTACTCAAATACAGGTATTCACTAAAAAGGACATTTGAAGTAATAAAAATATTATTTACATTATTTATAATCAGACTATTTTACACATTTATTTTGTTGTTATCATAATGTTTTGGCCATTGTGCCCTCCAGCCTTCCTCTGGTTTATATCGATCTGCAGGGAATTCAGAACCCTTTATTTAATCTACAGGGTAGACTCTTCTCGTTCCACTGCTCATATCTAAGAACATTGTCTAGTTCTTATTTTTAGTATTGCTCAGTTATTTCTTGCCTATTTCCACTAAGTTCAAGTACATACTGCTTGACCCGGGAATTGAACTCACCATCCCTATCACCAATTTCATGAACCAACACTTTAATCCATTAACTCATTGTCTCATAGATCAATATATACCTGAAAAAGCCAGGACGGCACAACAGATGAAACATTGTGATAACAACAACAAGGATGAGGACAATAGTCCAAATATAAATAATGTAACCCTGGCAAAGCATATACTATGCAACTAAGGCTAAGGATTATTTACATTGACTCAATGATCTCGACTATGGTTGACGTATTCATATATATATATATATATATATATATATATATATCTCGAGCATTGAAATCTATCTTTTACATAAATTTGTTAAAACACAATTACAGCCTCTTTCTCTTTACTTCCCTCTCCCTCTCTCTCTCTCTCTCTCTCTCTCTCTCTCTCTCTCTCTCTCTCTCCTTGCTGTAACACTCATTTGTATATATCTGTATTACTGTTTTCTGTCTCCTCTTTCTTTTTCATTTTTCCTTTTTTTCTTTTCTCCCTACTCCCCTCCCATTTCTATATATCATTTCCGTTAAGTTAACCATCTAAATAGGTCAAGGTCTGGTCACTCCTCCTACCCTAATATAAAGCACACTTGAGAGAGATATGAAATTAACCCCTCCCTATACTCTACGTTGTCTCTTTAACTATCCCTCTCACACTCCCTGTTAAATTACAAAAACTTACACTACCCATCAATTTTAATCTCATTTTTCATTTCATTTCGTTGTTGGAAGTGCTACCTGATGATCCGGCATCCTTTTAAAAGGACTCTGGTGAAATAAATTATTGTAATGGTACCTTTAAGTGGTCCGTTTTTTCTTTTAAATATTTTATATATATATATATATATATATATATATATATATATATATATATATATATATATGCATGTATTCCTGCTCTGCTGGCTCAAAATAGCTCCAATTCATGAGAGGGCAGGCCTTAAAAAGCTGCTTAAGGATATTAAAGAAAAGATCTTAGTAATTTCTAGAGCTGAGAACCAAATAAATCAGAAGGAAAAGTGACTGTCTCGAAGGTCATTTTACAATAATCCTTACACTTTTGCTAAAAAGCTGTTCACCAAAAGTAAAAACGGCAAACTTGATGAAGCAGAGGAGGAACTCGAAAACTATCTGAGGATGATGTATTGTGAAGCTTGGAAAGATGTTCCCCTCTCTCTTATGAATGCTCTTCCTAGGCCCCAAGATCCAGATGTCATGTTTAATGTCAGCAAACTAAAGCTGAGGGAAGTTTGGGTATTCATCCACTATTCATGTGCCGGTAATGCATCTGGAATAAATGGAATATCTTACAAGTTATACAAGAATTGTCCAAACATCTTCAAGCAACTCACCATCCTCCTCCAGCAGGCATAGACACAAGGCATTTTTCTACAAGAATGGTGCTTGGCAGATGGTATTTGGATACCTAAGGAAAAGAATGCAAAAGACATTGAAAAGTTTTGCCCCATTTCACTCTTGAATGTAGAGGGGAAAATATTTATTGAGTCTCTTGTTCATAATATGACAGACCTTCCTACCAGGTAATCATTACATAAACACAGCTGTCCAGAAAGCTGAGATAACTGGCCTCCCCCGGCTGTCTGGTGTATTCACACATGATTTGGAACTCAATACTATCAGCCAAACAAACGTCCTGGGTAAGACAATAAACTGCATCCAACAGCAAGGCCTCTGATCAGGAGGTTTTGAGGAGCGTGGAACCACTTCTTAACTGTTGGTGTTCCCAGGTCCACCCTGACCTGAAGTGGCAGCACCTGTTAGGGTCTCAGCTATGGGCAAATAGCTAATCCCCCAAACTGGGGTCAAAAAACTATGAAAGTGTAAAAATAGGTTTTAATACCAGAAATGCTTTGTAAAAAAAATATTACCAGCAATACATTTTTTTACAACAAATATTACCAGCAATACGTTTTTGAAAAAAAAAATATTACCAGCAATAAATTTTTGAAGAAAAAAAAAAAAGAAAATTTATTATTACCAGTGATACGTTTTTGAAGGAAAAAATATTACCAGAAATATATTTTTGACAAAACAAGATATTACCAGGAATAAAAATTTTATCAGCATTAAATAACCTATTGAGGTTGATATGCTGTAAAACAAAACAAAAAAACAGCAAAACAAAATAAAACTGAGCTTCAAATTATTTGGCTTGCATTTGTATCAGTTCCTCATGAGTTAATTCGAATGTCCCTCAAATTTTTCACTTTCCCTACAAAGGTTGCGGAAATTATAATGAAATATTTCAGAGCAGCATTTATGCAGTTCACCATTGGTAAATAAACCACCAAGTCGCAAACTCTCAAAATCAGCATCATGACGAGGTGTGTGATTTCATCATTTCTTTTCATTATGTCCATGGAACTCATAGGGTGCAACAGCCACAGCAAAGGGAGTGATGACTAAGGAATAAATGGTCCTTCCTCTTTCAAGAGCATTCATGGATGACATCACCATTCTGGTCCCATCTAAGGTAGGTGCCGATGAACTATTGCAGCTATACAATCAGTTCTTCAAATGGGCAAGAATAAAGGCTGAACTCACGAAAAGCCGGAGTTTATAATTACTCAGAGGCTCTGTCAGGGAGATTCATTTCTGCATTAGGAGTGACATGATCCAACAGTCAAACTGAAGCCAGTGAAGAGCCTCAGACAGCTGTATGAAATTCCACTAACTGATCAGCACCAAGGTAAAGAGGTGCAGAAATTGGTACTAGCTGCATTGATAGAACCCATCTCTCCAGCAAACTAAAGGCTTGCTCCTACCAACATGGTTTGCTGGCTCGGCTTCTGTCACCATTGCAGGTGTATGATATTACCCTGTCTCACATTCAGCTGACACAACCATGTATCAACAAATATCTAAACAAGTGGCTTGAAGTTTCCCCTGCTTCTCTACAGTGGACTCTATACCAATGCCGGACGCCTGCAACTTCCCATCTCCTCATTGGTGGAGTTCAAAGTTGGGAAGGTACGCCTTCATATGATGATGAGTGACTCAGCTGATGAGTTTTTCTGCAGGTAACAGCCAGGTAATGGTCAACAGTAGAAGCCCCCCGCCCCCCTCCAGCAGCAGAATCCAGTCTGTGAACCAAGGAGATTATGGAGGTGACCCAAATCAATTGAGCTGGCCTGGGTAGCACAAGCAACAAGTTTTTCTCCAAACAAGGTCCAAAGACATGGCGATTGATGAAATCAGGAATTTCAAGGAAGAGCAACGAACAGTTACGACTGATTGGACTACATGGGGTGATATTGATCCAATGAAGCTGGAATACCCTGATTGCAATGGCACCATTGGCAATATCATTCCTCTTGCAATCTACCTATGATCTCCTACCAAATGTGACCAACCTCAAGTTGTGCGGGTAAACACTGATGTATGTCGAAGTGATCACAGCATGTGGCATCATAACAAAGTAGTGAAAGTGGTCATGGACTTAGTACACAGTGTGAAGCAGCCAACAAATAAACAGGGAACCTAAGACCCAAATAACTCCCAATATGACACTGCTGAGTAGAGCCTGTGACTGGAGGGTGTTAATTGATCTTAGAACACCTCTGGAATTTCTGGTACACATCATTCAAACAGACACATGCCCTGACATTGTAGCATGATCTGATTCAAAGAAGTGTGTCCTCCTAGTAGAATTAACAGTTCCATAGGAGAAGAACCGGAAAGAGGTGCACAAGTGAAGGACAAACCGCTATGAATCACTGCGACCCACATGGAAAAGGGGTGAACATGTCATTTTCTACCTATTGGGGTCAGGTGCCAAGGATCCCTTGGGTGGTTAGTCGTTTCCTTTCTTTTAAAGGTGAGAATCACTGTCTAGAGCCTGAAGTATGCTTTACATCATCTCCAGACCACAGCTCAACAGGCATCAAGTTGGACCTGGTCAAGATCCAAAATAAACAAAGTTAAATAAAGCCATGCTTGTAACACAATGCTACTTCCAACGTCAAACATATCTGTTAACCTCCCATTCTACACCATCGATAACAGTCACTACAAGTGTGTTGTGTATCCATTAATAATCAAAAGCAAACACTTTTAATACTATGTTGAAAATCTCAGTTGCAGTTGTAAAAAAGAAATCACAGGAGACTGATACGTCTACAAAAACAATACCCAGTCCAGTGGCAAAAGCTGCTGGTGGTGCCAGGGGTGGCAGTACTGCCTTAGCCACCAAAACTGTGTTACCTCCCCTAGTTGGAGGCCAATAAGGACAGAGTATTGCATATATAATGTAAATAATGATAACTCCTCATTCCAGAAATTCAGATAGAAATAATAAAGATATGTCAGATTAAAAAAAAATAAAAACAATAATGGCAAGAAATTAGAGCAACTTTAGGTTGGCATCTAGGTCCCACCTTTTTACTATCAAAACAGTTAAATGTAACAGCCTCTTCTACTCCAACAGCTTCTTATCTCGCACTTCCCAACAGTGGAACTCCCTTCATCTTACTTACTTCCCTGATTACTATAACCTTCAAAAATTTTAAAGTAATGTCGATCATCATCTTCTGTTGTTTTGATCCCCGTTCTTCTCCTCAACCTTCCCCTATACCCAGTCTTTTTCCCTTATTTACACTCTCTGTAGCCCCCTGCATACTAGTGTCACTCTTGCTTTGCTTGGGGTGAAATGCTTTAAAAAAAAAATAAAATAAACAAAAAAAAAACAAGTCTGTTTCATTTATTGCAAGTACTATCACAATAAAAATGTAGCAGAAATATGATGAAAAACTCCTAAAAGACTATTACATCTAATACTACTACTAGGAGTAAACAAGCAACAAAAATAAAAAGAAACTAGTCCTAAATGTTTAGATTCTTGGTAAAACTTAGCCATTAAATAAAAAAGAAAGATATTCTAAGATTTCTTTGTTTGATTCCAGATTCAGCCTATTGATAACAATCAATGGGCTGTTGGCAAATGCCTCTGCTATGACAGCTTCAGTAGATGTCAGTGGTGCTTGATCACCAAGAAATACTTCAATTTCAGAACTGGTGAGTATAATCATACTAATTAATCAAGTCTTAAAATAAACACCAGCCAATTAATAGTCTTGGCTTGTAGAGATTCTATAAGCAATACTCCTTAGGCTGCAACCTATCCAATAGTGCGGGAATTCTGTAAATTTAGTATAAAATATTGATAATTTAAAGAAGTCATTAATGATTTATCACTGACAACAAAAATAATGAGTAGTTTGAAGTGGGGTTAACATATCCTGTTTAACCTGGGCAGACCGATAAACTACATCCAACAGCAAGGCCTCTGATCAGGAGGTTTTGAGGAGCATGGAACCACTTCTTAATTGCTGGTGTTCCTGTCTCCATCCTGATCTAGGATGGTAGCACCTGTTAGGTTCCCAGCTATTGGCAAATAGTTGACCCTGAAACTGAGGTAAAAAGCATTATGAAAGTGTAAAAATAGGTTTTAATACCAGAAATACTTTGTAAAAAAATTATTACCAGAAATAGATTTTTCAAGGAAAAAAAATTATTACCAGCAATATATTTTTGAAAAAAAATCAGGAATGAAAGCAATAATTACTTAAAGAAATGAGCTATTTATATGTATTCTGTAAATGCATTGCTAATGATTTTGCTGTAAGAATGCATAGAAAATCCGGAAAAAAGGGATTGTCAGTGATCAGGAATGGATGCAAGCAATACTGATAGAATTGGGCTGTTATAATTTATACAAATATAAATATTCTACCTTATATTGTAAAATAACTTAGAATTAATTAAATATTAAGTTTTCTTAAAAAGGTGAAAAACTTTAAACTAAAATTTTGATTTTTCTTTTTTCTTTCCTGCTTTGTTTCTTTACTAGGTGAGGATTGTTTGAAGAATGAATCGACGTCCAGTGTTACTTCACAAGCCCAAAATATTACAACCGTCACAGTCCAAGTCACGATAACTAATAAGGAAAAAACATCCAAAAATCATGCTCCTGATGAAAATAGCACAGACTACCCCATTTCTTCTGAACAAAATAGTAAAGCTCCACATATTGATTCCAAAATAACGACAATTATCTTCATATGTGCTGGTATCATCATAGCTGTTATTCTTGGCCTGATTGTTGTTTATTTTATGTTTAAAAATAGTAAGTATCCTTGTATTTGTTTTGCAATTCAAGCCAGGCTGGTGATCCTTATTAACATTAACCCATACAAAAAAAAAATATAGTTTCAAAGAAAACAATTTGTTCTATTCTTTTGTGGTCAATGTGCTTATTAGTAGTAAAAAAAAGTAAAATTGCATTTTATAAAGCTGTATATATTTTTTCTTTAATCAAAATGTTAAGTTAATGAAACCATGACCCCAATGAAACTGTTAAGGAAATGAATGCTATAGGACTGTTAAGCACCACATGTACTGCAGCGATAGCAGCAATGGTGTGTCTAGGGCAAGATAACCTGATGAATCCCATCCCTCTTCAGGCTGTTAATAGACAAGAAAAAACAAATTATATCACAAAATATATTAGGTTCCTAGTGACACCACATGTACTGCAGCAATAGCAGCAATGGTGTGTCTAGGGCAAGATAACCTGATGAATCCCATCCCTCTTCAGGCTGATCTAATAGACAAGAAAACAAATTATATCACAAAATATATTAGGTTCCTAGGGACACCACATGTACTGCAGCAATAGCAGCAATGGTGTGTCTAGGGCAAGATAACCTGATGAATCCCATCCCTCTTCAGGCTGATCTAATAGACAAGAAAACAAATTATATCACAAAATATATTAGGCTCCTAGGGACACCACATGTACTGCAAATAGCAAATGGTGTGTCTAGGGCAAGATAACCTGATGAATCCCATCCCTCTTCAGGCTGATCTAATAGACAAGAAAACAAATTATATCACAAAATATATTAGGTTCCTAGTGACACCACATGTACTGCAGCAATAGCAGCAATGGTGTGTCTAGGGCAAGATAACCTGATGAATCCCATCCCTCTTCAGGCTGATCTAATAGACAAGAAAACAAATTATATCACAAAATATATTAGGTTCCTAGTGACACCACATGTACTGCAGCAATAGCAGCAATGGTGTGTCTAGGGCAAGATAACCTGATGAATCCCATCCTTCTTCAGGCTGATCTAATTGAAAACAAATTATATCAGTGTTCTTTTAACCTGATGAATCCCATCCCTCTTCAGGCTGATCTAATAGACAAGAAAACAAATTATATCACAAAATATATTAGCAGGGACACCACATCAAATAAAGCAGCAATGGTGTGTCTAGGGCAAGATAACCTGATGAATCCCATCCTTCTTCAGACTCCTTTTGAATTCAGTTTTCTTTTTAGAATAGTTACCACCTCAAATAAAGAGAATGAAGTCTACATTGATATTTAATGCATAGTTCAACATCCGCAAAGCTCTTGCGTGGGATGCGGGTAACAAACTTCACAAGATTTGGCGCTTGAACCTTCCATCCTCCTTAAAAGTCCAAACCTTTCGAAAATTGATTGAACCAGTTCCACTGTATGGATGAGAAACTTGGACATTATCTGTTCGTCTTGAAAGACGACTGGATGGAACATAGACAAATCTACTTAGAAAAATTCAGAACATCGTTTGGAGATGCCATGCAACGCTTGACAAGATTTACGGAGAACTGAGACCAATCTGTCTTAAGCTCAAACAAAAATGATTACAGTTTGCCGGCCACTGTCACTGAGCGGACAGGGAAAATGTCTCATTCTTAGTCCTATGGCATCCTTCTGGAAGTGTCTTCTCACAAAACTCAGCTTTCCCAGACACCATAGCTCTGGACTCAGGGTTGGACATTGGGGATCTGGGGACAGCAATGCAGGACCAAACAGTGTGGAAAGGGATTGTCAATGGAGTTCCGACCAACTATAGAGAGGTCAAAGTATGATGATGAACCCATAGTTAGTGGGACAAGAGATGTATTAAAGATTTTCCCAAGGTTGACTTGTTTTCAAATTCGACTCCTCAGTTACTCATACATCTGATAACTTGATTAAACTTGATTAAATTCTAGGTGCTATAAGCTTGGATGCATGGGTGGTGTAACAGATAAAGACTTAGAATTGTTAATTGGAGATCAGAGTTCCAATTCCCGTTGGGTTTGTTATATTCACTTGCATGCAAACACCCTTAGGAAAGGTATGAATCCACTTCTTCTCCCCCACACCCAAGAGTTGACCATAAGGTCAATGCAATGATCTTTTCCTCAGCTGCATGGTATGTGCATAGGTTAATTATTAAAACTTATATCATTAAACCATTATCTCCAAAAAAAAAAAGAATTCTTACAATCTAAAAATATTTTCTGGCTTTAAATAACCTGCAAAGGGTTGATAAACTGTAAAGAAAGAATCGGTCAATGAAGAAACAATTTAATATATCTGAGCAGTTCTTCTCATCTTGAATATTATAGAGCAGGTATGTCCAAAGGCCAGCCCAGGGCCCAATCACGGCCTGCAGTCAAATTTCATATGGCCTCCATCCTCTGTCATAGAATGTATCATTTACAGCCTGCCAGTATTGCCAATCACCTAAGAAATGCAATTTTATGTTTTACCAAAAGATGGCAGCAGTGACTGTGTGGCCACCCTCTTGGCCTTTTCCAGCCAATATCTAAAATCACTGCCTTTGAAGCCGATCTGCCTTTATATACTGAAGTTCAGATCTCAGTATCACCCTTCACAGACAAATTATTTGTTTTGATCACCTGAGATGAATAAATTCTAAAATCTTATTGAATGAAATTTGTTTTGTGTTGATCAAAATCACTTGGACTTGTGTCACTTTGTTTTCTTCTTCTTAATAAGATGAATGTTATGTTCCTATGTTTCATATATTTTTAACTTAAAAGTTGACAGACAACATTAATTACCAAAGATATGTCATGTTTAAGATTAACCTTAGATATATCATAGCTTCCTGGAAGTTCTTTTTTGTAAGACATATTTTACTTCATCTTATGGGCTTCAGATATTCAGTGAATTTGGTAAGACCTATTCAAATTTATTTGTCATTCATGTGAAGAAATGAAAAAATGCCATTTGCAATAAAATTTTCATAAGATAGTTCATTTGCATTTAATTTTTAAATGGTTCAAAGAATGCCTAACAGAATACATATTTACCTCATCAAATCTGGCTCACTTTGAAAAAAAGTTTGGGCACCCCTGTTATAAAGGTGATTATACACAATGTTTCAGGCAAATACTCTCTGGCCATCATCAGGTGTCCATTATTTTTTACTGATATAGGATATCTGTTCATTATTGTGTTATTTTGTCCAAAACAAAAACTGCGTTCACAGGGACAGAATAACAATAATGAACAGATATACCATATAAGTCAAAAACCATAGACACCTGATGATGGTCAGAGAGTATTTGGCTAACATGTTGTCTATGATAGCCTCTGTAATATTCAAGATGAGAACAATGGTTTAAATAAATTAAAGTGTATTGAAATCTGTTTATATTTCTGAGATGAGATATTGTAACTATTGACATTGTTTGGACTGTTGACCCCCTCTCTATTGTCATATTCACAATGTTTCGACTGTTGTATACTCTGACCTTCTTCAGGTGATATTCATTGGAGCTTCAAACTGAAACCTTTATTTAGTCCACAGGGGTAGACTGTTCTAATTCCACATGCCATGCCTTTTTTGGATATCTTAGCTTCAGGTCACTTCCCTTTAGTAACTGAAACACTCCAAATGTTTGTTCCTCTCCTCTGGCCAGGTTATTGGGTAAAGTCACTTTTTCAATTTACTCAACCAACACTTTTAGCCACTGAGCCAATAACTCATCTCAAAAATAAAATATAAAAAGTTGTGTGGGGTCTTGTCTAAAGTTGTCTAAAATGTAGGGGCTTACTTTTTTTTTTTTTTTTTTTTTTTTTTTTTTTAGACCAATGGTTCCCAAACGTTTTTGGTTTGCTTCCCCCACCCATGCATACCAAAACCATAAGCCTAATGCTCCCCTCCCCCCAATGTATAGTCAACCTTTGATTGTGTTATTTTTTTTTTTATTGGTGCTAGTATTGCATGCCAAATGTTAGTGTCCCCCATAATAACTGGTATATAAATGAGATACACTGTAAAGTGAAGCCAAGTCTAATTGCGCGAGCGCGCGGTGGTGGTGGTGATGTATGTTAAGGTTCAGCGGGTGTGGTACCGACCACTTTGGGAATCACTGGTTTAGAACTTCAACCATAACCTGCCGATTTCTCTCATGATGTGTGGCTGGTGTAATGGATAACATCTTGGAATGAGAAATCAGAGATCCAAGTTTAAATTCTAGTCAAGTTAGCTACAATCATTTATGCACAAATACCTTTGGTTCTTCTCCCCCAGCTATTAGTTGAACAGTAGAATTTGTATCTTCAAAAATTTATCTTCAAAAATTTAACGCAATATTCACTCACAAAAAAAATATTCTCAAAATCCAAAGTATGTTTTACCTTTTAAACCTTTAGCATTCAAGAAGGTCAAACCCGCCCCCCCCAAATATCGGCTCTTGTTGCATTCTGTGCTGTATTAAGAGAGAGTGGTGGCAGCTTGGATTCTAAGAGGTGGTAGGAGGAATGATGTCACAGGAATACATGTCATACATTGGCTCGGCATCTGTCTTCAAGTGGTCTTAGATGGTCGCTAATCTGGGTGTGGGAAGCATATTGATGCTTCAGAATTCTTGTGACTCTCTCTATTGAATTTGCATTGTTTTGGACTTATATCCAAAACCCAGACAAAGGCAATTCATCACTGTCAGAATGCCCTGCTCACAAGACACTCCGACCAATCACTGACCATTCTGGCCCTAGCCTTCGCATTCTGTAACAATGTTCAACCCACTGTAACCTGCTTCGTGTATACTCTGTCATAATATATGACAACATTGCAAATAATGCAGGAAGTCATGCAAACAGGCTTTGTCAGCCGATATTTACAAGGCAGGTTTGAGCATGTTGAATGCTAAAAGGTTAAATAAACCCACATAGGAGGATTGATAAGCCACAAAACTAACGAATGTACCTTTCATGGATTCTCAGTTTACAACACTGTATTTGATATTTTTAACTCATTTGAAACAGACACCAAACATCTTACCACAAATGTTATCAGCTGATGCCATGATGGACATTTCGATTGACTGTTCTGTATCCCACTCGGAAAAAGGGCAGTGAATTTATATATATATATATATATATATATTGTTGTTTGCATTTTTGTTTTCTGTGCTTTCTTTTCAGTTTGGGGCTGCAAATATGATTCTCTTCATTTCAAAATCTCATGCTGATTGCCAATGGCAAGTCTCATCTTCCTCGAAATGTTATTTTTGCATTCTTTGTCGGTAAGGAGTTTCGTCTCTTTTTGACTAGTCCCCCATTCCTTGCCATAACTGCTGACATACATCTGCCAACTCGATAACAGATCACTTCACAGTTGATAAAGGATGCAAGCATTGGTTATCTTACCAGTTCATGAAAAAACTGTGGAGCTGATCCTTTGCTCTCTCTCTCTCTCTCTCATGATCTTATATACTTCTTCTCTATTTCTCTTTGCTTCTCTCTTCTTCATTTTAGAGCTTTCTTCTCAATACTTTTTACTCATCGGTGATTGTCAAATTTTCTTACTTTTTAAGCTATTTTTCTCTCTTCCTCTTATACTTGTCTTAACCATAACTGGCATCAATTTAAGCATTGTCAGCTATTATTATTCATTTTTGACTAGCATTTACTTTTATCTCCATTTTTTTTATTGGATGTAGCATTGTCAGCCATTATTATTCATTTTTGACTAGTATTGAATTTCATCTTCATTTCTTATTCAATGAAGCCTTGTCAGCCATTACTTTTTTTTTTTACTTGATTTAATTTAATGATAGTTTTAAAGGTTGTTTTTGTTATTCGGCAACTTGTCTTCTATTGGTTCAAATAGGGAACATAGATGTGTAGCAGAAAAACACAATCTACACATAGAGATAACAAAGCCAAATTTATACAATTATTAGAAAACGCATCTCTGACTACACACCAATTTTCATAGCTAAGTCACACGCACACACACCACACTCTACTCAAAACAAATTTTAAACAAACACAAATATACCAGAGTGCTGGCCATTATCATGACTCACTTGCCACAGATGTCTACAACTACATCCATCCGTTTCCTTATAAAGACTATAAGAGAAGTTGGACAGAAGCAGAGAGAGAGAGAGACTTCAACACACACACACACACACACACTAACCATAGAGGCTACCCAAAACACAGCTGACTGCCTATCCAACCATTAGGCTGTGAAAATGACCTCCTGTGAAGACAGAAAGAGAAACGGACTTCACTATCTGTGACAAGCCCAAACTGATAGCCAACAAGCAGTCAGTCGGATTAAGCATACTCCTTTATTTCATGCTCTCATTTCACACCTCATACACCGTACATTCAAATGCTACACTATATGACTTACTAGAGACATTGTCATATCTTGTAAATGAAAATAAATCTTTGGTCATTTCTCCAAACCAGTATCTAGTTTGTTTCTTTCCTCTAACCGGCTGCCCACCTCAGGATCAGATGATGTTTGACTAAAATTTAGTGTTATCCAGTCTTTATTTTTTATCTGTTGCATCCCTTTATGACATGGGCTAATATGGCTCTGCACTGCCTATCCTTTGTTCTCCTTAACTGTTTTTGTCTTTTTTCATTATTCTTGTCCTTTTGCCATCCATTTGCACAAACTTATTATGGATGTTACTTGGAGTTTCTTTACATTTTAGTTTTGTTGGATTTTTTCACAATATGCAGGGTTTTTTTTTATATTCTATAACCATTAAATATTTAAAATGAAATAACATTCAACAGGATCTGAATTTGCATGGATTATACTTGGCAGCTTGTTTGACATGGACAGCATTTTATCAATTAGGCTACAGGAATTTGTCAATAAACATAATTGAAATTTAAATAGCTACATAATTAACCAATTTACTCTATTCTGTATTTTTATTTATACCTACTCGTAGTACACATAATCGTCTTCAGTCATTTGAATTTCTTAGATGAAGCATTATCAGTCATTTTTCCTGTTCTTTTTTGTTGTTTTTTTCTTATCATGTCAAGATTGTTTTTACATTCTGTAACATTTGTGTGAGAAGTTTAAAGAAATAAATCATCAGAATAATAATTCATGAGTTATTTAAATTTTAAAAATATATTTCAAATTATTTCATCTAATTTAGAAGAAATAATTTCAAATTTTCTTCATGCCCACTGCTGTTTAAACAAACTTGAACAGCAGTTGGGCATGAAAAAAAAAAAATTACTAAATTGACTGGGTAGGTATTTGAAAAAATAATTAAAAAAAAAAAGTACTGACTTCACAAAATGCCACATTAAAATAGATCAACCCCAAAACTTACGAAATGGATTTTCCAAAAGTAATGCCTCCTATTAAATCCTACGGAAACTCCAACAGATACAGGGAGGACAATGATGCTGTTGAATAGAGCAAGTTTTCAGCTACAAAATACTGTGTGTTCATATAGTCACCATCATTGGTTATGTGTTGTAACAAGAAAATTTATTTGTAACAAGAAAAAAAAATGTAGTTATTGGTGGTGAGTTTCAATTTTAATGACACACAGCAGAGCAACCACTTTTATATATATATATATATATATATATATATATATATATATATATATAGAGAGAGAGACAAGAGGTAAAACTATTCTTAGCCGACACATTTTGTCCTGTGAAGGACTTTATCAAAGCAATGTAGGAATTATTTTGATGCTCGTGTTTATATACAAAAGCAAGGATGTCATTGATTTATCAAGGCTTTTAAATTTGGGAATGTTCATGAATTTTCATCTGGTGGTTGAAAGGTCGGTCAAAATATATGGAAGACACAAAATGTCATAATTTTTTAATATTATATATTCACTTTACTTTTTACTTTGAATTATGACACTTTGTAGTAAGTTTGATCTCATTTAGGCAGAAAGTCACTCTTTCCAAAAATCAAAAAGAGATCAAGACTTACTACAAATACAAAAAATGAACAATGAAATATTTTATTCCTTTAGAAAAATTGATTCCTTTAATTTGCTTGAAGAAGGTTACGAGACCAGAAACACGTGTAACAAAAATATGAAGAATAAAATATAATATCTTACTTATTATAAAACGCAGATTGTGTGTGTGTGTCTGTACGTTTATATATTTGATCGGATTTCCTACATTTTTCAACTGATTTCAACAAAACTTCACAGGACTGCATAAAATTAACTTGCCGTGGTTCTGACAGCGCCAAAAATTGGAAAAACACAATTGTTTTTGCACAAAATCAATTTGAAAACATATCGAGTTATACTTATTATAAAACCCAGCTTGTTTGTGTGTGTGTGTCTGTGTTCGTTTATATATGGGATCGGATTTCCTACATTTTTCAACCGATTTCAACAAAACTTCACTTTTTTTTTTGGCAGGTAGTGTTTGTTATTGTCTTGCACACTTTTTTCTTTATTTTTACAACCAGAATGCTTTAAAAATTACATTTACAAGACAATTGTTTATAATAAAATTCTATTCAATCGGTAGACTCATAATGATTGAAAACAATGTTTTTGTTTGGGTTTGACCAATTCACAAAAAAAAAAAAAAGCTAGTTAAGACATGCGTGTCCGTCAACCTTAAACAATAATCTTTGTCAATTTTATTTTTCAGTCTTTATGATGGTCAATACTTGATCTATCTCTTACTGTTACATCCCCGGGCAACGCCAGACTCTACTGCTAGTATATACTAAAACAAATCCACATTATAACCAAAAACATTTGCGGTTTCTCTCTTTTAAAATATACAATTTTCTCTCATTGGAATAATTATAACCTTTTGCCAATATATATATATATATATATATATATATATATATATATATATATATATATATATATATATAGTTTTGCTTTTCCCTTTCATTCTTTTGACTTGCTGCTTTTTACCTTTCTCTTCAGCCTTGAAATGCTTTCAATGATTTTCAACTGACTTATCCAATTTTAATGAACTTTAATACTTTTTGGTTTTAAAAATAATTTGATTAATGTATTAACCGCCGGGTTTAACTAAAACACTTAAGATTAAACTAAACTAAAACAAAATCCTACTGGATATGTCGATTGCGTTTCCTGTAATAAGTTAAGACCACCTATCCCAGTTCCAAAAAAGTAGCCAGCTAACAAGTAAATGTTTAAAGATTTAAATATAAATTACCAATATTTACCTATCCCCAAACCAAGTTAATGCCTACACTCAAATACAGGGTGCGGCAGAAATACCTCCCTCATAGACTTTCCAGAACTCCCTCCCACATAATGGTAAGACATGAGCTAAATGAAGACACCACTGCCACTAATGTCTTACAATGATGTGGAAGGTATTTGGAGGAGTTCTTTCTGCCACACACTATATAAATGACCAATATTTACCTAACCCTGAACCAAGTAAATGATTTTGACAATAAATAACAATTAAATAACAAAACAAGAGTCAATATGTAAAAACAAACCCTAAAAGAAAAACCAGTTTTCATTGCCATATTTGATGATAATAGAACTCCATCTCAAAGTCTCAAAATTTAAAAGTAAAAATGTTACTTTTTTTTCTTTTATCAGAAAAAACTCCAATCTAAATTTTTTTTTTGGTTTGTTCTTCATTCAAGAAGGGAAATGTATCTTTGGCTCTTGCTGATCAAAGGTTTGAGAATTTTATTTTAAATTTGTTAATGAATGTTTGCAATCTCTTTCAGGAACTTCATCATCATCTGGCATCTTACAGAATTATGACAACCTAATTCCTGAAGGTAAGTCACTGAATGCTTTAACTTAAATAGTCAATCCTAATTTCCTTGGCTTTACAGATACACTATGTTGAGACACCAGTTCCCATACAATAACTGTATAAGTTAAGCAACATTGAGCCTGATCAGTACCTAGATGGGTGACCACTTGGGAATACCAGGTACTGTAAGCTTGGATGTGCAGGTGGTGTAATGGATAACAGCTTGGTATTGTTAATCAGGGAGCTGAGTTCCAGTTCTCATTAGGTTTATTATATTCCCATGCACAAATATCATTGGGTAAGATAGGAATTCACCTCTTCTCTCCCCCCAGCTATGGGTTAAATATTAAGTAAAAATATGCATTCTGCATCCCTGTTCATGAGCGGATGTAGTGAGAGAGCCTCATGGCTAAGTGTCAAGATGGTTGTCATCTTCCCATCTAGATACTTCAAAACACTCTCAACTGAAAACCATTCGGACAGACTGAGCTTTTTCAACCTCTGAAGTTATTTCAAACTGGACTTCACCTGCAAGGTTATGTATTTCTTCTATGTGCCACAACCCTTCAGGTGATCATAGCTCTCCACAACTTCCTTTCCCCTTTGTGAAGGCTACCCCTCCCCTGTTCCACCATCCATTCACACAAGTTCGTCAGGCAAGTGGTTCACTGCCTTCCTCTCTCTCTCTCTCTCTTAAACTCAGTATGCCTCGTGAGGCTTTCCAAGCCCTCCTTCCTCATTATGTGTCCAAGGAATTTCAGCTATCTCTTCCTGATTCTAAGCATAGGTGTTCTTTCTTGCCATTTCTTTTAAGACTTCCTTGTTTCTTACTCTCTCTGTCCAGGAAATTTTCAGCATTCTTCTGTAGAACTAGCATTTCCTTATCCATAGGAAGATTGTCCAGCATTCACTGCCATTTAAGAAGATAGATATTGTATCTATCATATCCAGCACTCTTTTCTTTGTTTCTAATGAAATCTGTTTCTCAAAACCTTAGCTATTGGACTGCTTTTTTTGCTCATCCAATGCATATTCCAATTTTGGTGTTGCATTTTCTATCTCCCATTAAAATGCATCCCAGATATTTAAATCTCTGCATCTGCTTGATGTTTATATCTCCAATTCATAACTCACTTATTGGGTTTTGCCCCTTACTGATGACCAGACTTACTGTCTTCTTGCAGTTGGTAGTTAGTCCCTTTATCTTGCTTTCTTCTACAATCCTGTCAAGCCGAGTTCAAATTCTATTAGAGATTATTTACATTCACTTACACACAAATGACATTGGGAAAAGTATGAATCCATCACTCCTCCCCCAGCTATGGCTTAAATAGTAAGACTAGTATCTGGAAAAATTATTATCACACCAAAAAATTGCTAATTCAATGTTCACTTGCCAAAAAAAAAAAAAAATCTTAGAATCCAAAATAAGTTTTGGCTTTAAAAAATGACCCAGAAAAGGTTTATAAGACATTAAAAAAAAACAATCAATAATGCTTTCTTTTGAGTTAAATTATGAACATGTCTGTTCTTTTTTAACAATGTTATTGCATTTTGGTGAAGGCCTATTTGCCATGTTTGTTTATGCTTTGTTGGAAGGTAATCTGAACCAACATTGATGTAGATTGATTTTATTCCAAATGTTTAAGAGTGATTTTTATCATTTGTGAGGTGCAAGTCTCCCTGATGTCTTGGAGAGGTGTGACTTTACCCCTGATATCATTGGGGGAGGTGCAACTTAATGATGTTGTTGGGGAGGTGCGACTCTACCCCCACTGATGTCGTTGGGGAGGTGCGACTCCACCTCTTCCAATGTTGTTGAGGAGGTGCGACTCCACCCCTCCCGATGTCGTTGGGGAGGTGCGACTCTACCCCACTGATGTCATTGGATAGATGCAAATCTACCCCACAATGTCGTTGGTGGGAAATGCAAGTCTTCCTGCTAGTATTGGCAAGGTGAAAATGTGAAAGATGGATAAGCAATTCTCCTCTGGAAATCAGAACCCCATGCTTATTAATCTTCATGAACAGGATACAAAATTATTTCACAAAAATTTTTGGCATGAACTCAAAATTACCATCTGCTCTTTGCAATTTCAGGAAGTAGCAAAAGCTAATCATTTAAAAATTATTTATCTGAATGTTTTAACAGTGCAGCGGAAAATCCTTTTTGAAGTTTTTGTTGTTTTCTTTTTTAGCCTACTTAATACAATTTTTTCTTTCTTTCAGATGACACACTAACCACGAAACAAGTCCTTCTACTTTTTTCTAATGACCATGACTTTCACTACAATGTTGTCAATTGTCTCACCTCCAGTCTAGAGAATGACTTTAAATGCCATATTCTGTATACACCTTGTATCACCGAGAAGGGTATCCTGCAGTGGCTGCACAAAACAGTTGCAGAATGTGACACTGTCTTGCTGCTGCACTCTGAAAGCATCAAACGGCAGTGTGAAGCTTGGCGTGTTGGAAAGGAATATAGCCAGCTTCGAGATGACCCTAACGAGAGCACACTAATGCCTATTTTAGCTCACCTGCAAAATTGCCCCAAAGTTCAGCCCTATTACTCAAAGTTTGTTTCCTGTCACCTGAAGCACCTCTCGGATAAGTACATCTTGCATGAATTTCCTTTTAGAGATAACTTCGTCCTCGTGAAAGAACTAAAAGAGCTTGTATGTCGTCTACATCAATTGGCACCCAACAGCAACCTGAAGAAGGCCTTTAAAATGTCATTGGACAGTTACCACAACACACCGAAAGGTCAGAGCCTGATTCAAGCCATTGAACGAACGGCCAAGTTTGAAGAGAACCAGAATTGGTTCATTGATAAATACAAATGTGCCGAGTATTGCACAGAGAGTACAACTGACAAGTGCGACTGCACTTCTATCTTTATCTCGGATTATCAGAACGGAGGCATTGATTACCTCAAGACCGAAGTTGATGGGCGACATGACCGATGTTTACCAAAACCTTACTTCAACGACATCAATTCGGTATCAGACATTTCTCATTGCAGTACAATGTTAGCAGATATTAATGAGCGAAACGACCGCAGCTTGAAGAATCGGAACAGCTTCCTTGAAACATTACCTGATGATGTGCATGACCTTAGCATGTGAAGGCTGTGGGTATTTCTGGAAAATATTCTCTCTGGAAAATATTCTCTGTGGAATCCTGCTCTAGTATGGAATAAGAAAAAGGAAAGAGAAAAAGAGAAAAAAAAACAAAAAAAACTTACGTCTTTCTTGTCTTAGCTCCTCTGCCTTCATTGAACCTCTGCCAGTGGGCATGAAAAGTAGATGCCAACAATTGAGAGGATTAGACGTCTGAAGGTGTGCACACTGTTTTTAAAGGAAAACGAGGGGGGGAAAAATAGGGCATCCTTCACCTGTACAAATTATGGCAAAATATGGTCTCCCGCCCTTCTCTCCCCGGCTGACCTTTGTCACATTGCATCAAATCTTCATTTCCTCTCATCCATCCAATACGTTTTTGTTTCTTCACTACAAATGCTCTCTCTTGTTAGAACAATCGAACTTTGGTGGCAGCGTAACTAAATGCAGTATTTAGGCCAGGCCTTCACAAAATATAGTCCACGGATTGCATGCAGTCTATGAGTCTACTCAGTGGGTTTCACAAAGGGTTTTCAAAATAGTAAATTTGTTGTGGTCATCAAAATAAATTCAGAAACCAAATTGTGGGAGCATAACTTTATTCAGTCAAGGTTTGTTTTTGATTAAAGCAGACTCCTTTTGGTTGCATTGTTTTATTGTTTTACTCAGTAATTCACTCTAAAAATTTACCTTTGTGACCCATGGTTAATTTTCTATGGGCAACATAGCCCTTTATATTTTTTTAATTGGGCAGGCCTGATATAGACTGAATTTTTTGCTTTTTATTGAATTTCAACTGTGATGGAAATGAGCCTCTTTTTTTCTGTGCAAATAATGCCAATAATTTACCCTTCTTTTTTTTAAACATCTATCTGTAATGTTAAATGGTGTGAGAGGTCTAAGAAGAGAATTGCTTAGTTCCAAGTATAGGTTCAACAATATCCTCATAATAGGCAACCCTTACGACATCGGCATTCAGTAACCCTTTAGTGTGAGTGGAACTTAGGCTTTGTATTGGGCAAACAGTAATAAAAAAAGACCTTTTCAATTTAATATCATAGTTTTTAAATCTTAAGGTCTTAAATGCAGCTGATTGCTAGCCATTGGCTTCATAGTATTCTGTATGGTTGGCTGTGGTTAGAGGGTTAGGGTTGAAAGTGATTACCCTTTAAAGAATTGAGCAATTTCAAACAAAGTCCCTTTACCTGAAATGTAGAAGAAAACTCCACAAAATCCTTGAACATAAACAGAATGATGGCGACAATACTTTTATCTTGACTTTTATCAAATTAATTTTATTTATCAGATGAAATCTACAGATTGTATCTATGTTTGTTTCATCTGTCACCTTAATCGTCATTCCAAATTCTCTCAGGTAGATGTGTGGGTGGCATAATGGATAGTGAAGATTTGGAAATGAGAAATTGGAGAATTGAGTTCGAATTCTTTTCACTCTCATGCAAAGGTATGAGCTCATCTGCTCCCCGGCTATGGGTTAAATAGTAGGTCTACCTGGAAAAAAATCATTGTTATTCTCAAAAACTTCTTAATGGAATACTCTCTTGCAAAAAAAAGAATTATTCTTACAGAACAAAATATCTATCAGCTTTAAATAATCCACAAAGGGTTGATAACCTGTAAAAAATGAATGTAATTCAAGATGTCAGGACAATTGAATTCCTTCTGTTCTTGATGTTACCACAACATTTCAGCTGATTCAATCTTTGACCTTTTATATGTATAATATAATGGCACTACTTAAATTGACTGGTCCATTCAATAAAAATTGGATACTATTGGGGGGGGGGATTTTTATAGAGCATTCATGTGACCTTCCTCAAGTCCCAGCATTTGTCAGAATTGAGGGTGGGGGTTAGAAGAGGGTCCTGATTATAATGTAAATGCAGTGTCAAATTAATCCTTTACTTTTTAGAATGATTTGTACCTTGTTTATATTTATAAATGTCAAGTTTGAAACTGCTGATGTCACTGGTGACTATGTACTACTGATGTCAATTTTTTTTCCCCATTTCATAAACGTATGCAGCTGTCGTTGACATAAGCACAATCTCTCTCTCTCTCTCTTATTATGTTGACTTTTTTCTCACTAAAACCAAACTTCTGATATTTTCTCTTCCATCTTTCCTCACAGTCAAAATGGAATGGTCCATTATTTATCTGAGGCAATGGCAGGGCATAACACACATGCTAGCTAACTAGCTAATAGAGGAAGGAGGAGAATTATCATATGATATAAATGGTATTTATCAATCCACCCACGGGGACCGAATGTGGCACAAGGCCTTTTTAATGTGGGTATGTCTGAGCCCATAGGCCCAGCCAAAAATAGAAACCCATCTAAACCCGCTCAAGCGGGCTAGTTCCATCAACCTCCCCGAACGAAACCCCACCCTTCAGCGGAGCTTCGTCCGGGTTCCTCTCTGCAAGCAGAGAGTTCGACAGACACCCGACTCGGCAGCTCACAAAGCGCAGATACTACACTTTGATCCTAGCCACCGGGCCGAGCGGGTATTCTTTTTATAGATACTATATCATATGATATAAATAGATACAGTTAATTTGGCCCTCCTCTTAAAAAGATAAACGTAGCCTTTTTGTTTTCATAAAATTCTCTCACAGAGCCACCAGTTCCATCACTTAGCACAAGTTAGGCCAAATTTACATTGCCACCCAAATATTTTTTTGTCTTTTTTGCTATTTTGTTTTATCACAGCTGGTACTGTGAGTGTTTCACAGATATACCGTCCTCTCTTTTGGCCTCTTCCCATCTCTCATTTGTCTACTATGCCTCTCTAGTCTCTCTCGCACCCTCTCTAGTCTCTCTCGCACCCTCTCTAGTCTCTCTCTTTTTTCCCTCTCTAGTCTCTCTCTCTCTCTAGTCTCTCTCTCTCTAGTCTCTCTCGCACCCTCTCTAGTCTCTCTCGCACCCTCTCTAGTCTCTCTCGCACCCTCTCTAGTCTCTCTCGCACCCTCTCTAGTCTCTCTCGCACCCTCTCTAGTCTCTCTCGCACCCTCTCTAGTCTCCCTCGCACCCTCCCTCTTTATTCTCTATCTCTCCCTCCCTCTTTATTCTCTCTTGCTCAACAAAATACTGTTTGGATTAGGGCTACCATTTCTGCTTTTATTTACATTATTTAGACATGAACTACTTTTCCCATTTTTGTTGTTATCACAACATTTCAACCGTTGTGTCAATCAGCCTTCATCAGTGCCTGTCAATCCAGGTAACTTTCAGGGAATCTTGAACTAGATTGCTCTCATTCCACTGCCCATGTCTAGGGATATCTCATCTAGTTTCACTCAAAAACCTTTTTAGTATTTGTTTGCTGTTTCCACTGAGTCCAAGTACACACTGCCTGACCCAAGGATTGAACTCACAATTACTGTCACCAACAAATCCACTAACCTATTGTCATGTGGGAGAATTCTCTGTGGAAAACTTGAACTTAACCTGACAGTACAATAGCCTGGTTCAGGAATTTGTTGACATAGTAGTTGCGAGTTCAATCTCTGGACTGGGCAGTGTGTACTTGGACTCAGCAGAAACACGGCAAACAATAACTGAACCATACTAAAAATAAAATATAGGGGCAATGGCCATGATTAAATGTAAAAATAAATGGCAGAACTGCCCAACAAAACAGATTTGACAAAACTGGCAATAAGCAATGACAAGAAAAAGAAAAAAGCTGGAAAAAAAATAGTATAAAGCAAACAATATATGCAAGGCAAATTAACAGTAATATGGCAAAAAATTCACAAACTAAGAATTAGGGTTGACACACAAGACCAACTTTGGATAAATGATTGTAGCATTCTGACTTCAAGACATAATCAGGACTGAGTCAGATAAAGCTGAGAACTGTTTTATTGGCTAAGAAGAAATCTCAGTATGCGTTTGTCTGCTTCTGCCTATAAATTAGGGAAGGGAAAGTGTTTTCTGGTCATTCCAAACCGGATTGGAACCGATGCATGAACTAGAAGAGATATACCTAGATATGGGATCAGTAGATTAAGAACAGTCTAGGCCTGTTGATTAAATAAAGGGTTCAGTTCAAAATTCCCTGACACTTACTTGAATCGAGAGATATCTGAAGAAAGCAGGAGTCGAAAACAGCCGAAACATTGTGATAACAACAAGGACGAGGATATTATTCTGCGTGTAAATAATGTAAATAAGAATAACAACCTCGTCCCACAACTTTCTGCTTTTGCTTATTTTATTATGACACCCCCATATTTTGCTAAATTGATCATCATCATCATCATCATCATCATTGTTAGAAAACCACACACACATACATGACTAAGTATGTAACTGTTGTCATTCATGTCAGTCTTTCATTTGTTCATTTCCTCTTCCCTCCCAGACTGAAATTACAAGGCACAATATTTTGCATAAGGGAGAAATGTAAAGTCACCGAAATGAGGGGAGGGGAGGGGATGAGGATATCAGAAATATTTTTATGCACCTAAACAAAAAAAAAACCTGGAAACTGTTTGAATCTGCAATAGTACTGTTAAAACACTGTTCTAGTCATTCTGTATCTACCAGTATTAGGACCGTTTGTACATACACACACACATACACATCACACTTTTTTCAAGATATTTGTTTATTTTTTGTTTTTTTAAGATATTTGTTGTTTTTGTTTTGTTTTTTTTATATGATATTTGAAAAAATTTTAAATTTTTTTTGTTGTTTTTAAGATATTTTTAAGATATTTTGCTTAAAAAATTTTTTTTTAAAAACATTCTTTTATTTTAACGTATTATTTTTTATTTTAAGGTTTTTAATAAAAGATTTTTTATATTAACATTTTTTTAAAGGATTTTTATTTTAAGGTTTTAATAAAAGATTTTTTATTTTAATGTCTTTAATAAAAGATTTTTAAACATCTTTTAAAGGTTTTTATTTTTAAGGTTTTTAAAGGTTTTTATTTTTAAGGTTTTTTAAAGTTTTTTTCTTTAAAGGTTTTTATTAA